ACACAGATGACAGCAAGGAAATGAGTGAGCTACTCAAGTCCCAATATGACTCAGTTTTTAGCAAGCCGCTAACCAAACAGAGTCGAAGATCAAAATGAATTTTTTATGAGAGAGCCACAGAATTTGGTTAACACAAGCCTATCTGATGTTATCCTGATGCCAAATGACTTTGAACAGGCGATAAATGACATGCCCATGCACTCTGCCCCAGGGCCAGACTCATGGAAGTCCATGTCCATCAAGAACTGCAAGAAGCCCCTATCACGAGCCTTTTCCATCCTATGGAGAGGGAGCATGGACACGGGGGTTGTCCCACAGTTACTAAAAACAACAGACATAGCCCCACTCCACAAAGGGGGCAGTAAAGCAACAGCAAAGAACTACAGAACGACAGCACTAACATCCCATATCATAAAAATCTTTGAAAGGGTCCTAAGAAGCAAGATCACCACCCATCTAGAAACCCATCAGTTACACAACCCAGGGCAACATGGGTTTAGAACAGGTCGCTCCTGTCTGTCTCAACTATTGGATCACTACGACAAGGTCCTAGATGCACTAGAAGACAAAAAGAATGCAGATGTAATATATACAGACTTTGCAAAAGCCTTCGACAAGTGTGACCATGGCGTAATAGCGCACAAAATGCCTGCTAAAGGAATAACAGGAAAAGTCGGTCGATGGATCTATAATTTCCTTACTAATAGAACACAGAGAGTAGTAGTCAACAGAGTAAAGTTCAAGGCAGCTACGGTGAAAAGCTCTCTTCCACAAGGCACAGTACTCGCTCCCATCTTGTTCCTCATCCTCATATCTGACATAGACAAGTATGTCAGCCACAGCACCGTGTCTTCCTTTGCAGATGACACCCGAATCTGCATGACAGTGTCTTTCATTGCAGACACTGCAAGGCTCCAGGCGGACATCAACCAAGTCTTTCAGTGGGCTGCAGAAAACAATATGAAGTTCAACGATGAGAAATTTCAATTACTCAAATATGGTAAACACGAGGAAATTAAATCTTCATCAGAGTACAAAACAAATTCTGGTCACAAAGTAGAGCGAAACACCAACGTCAAAGACCTGGGAGTGATCATGTCGGAGGATCTCACCTTCAAGGACCATAACATTGTATCAATTGCATCTGCTAGAAAAATGACGGGATGGATAATGAGAACCTTCAAAACTAGGGATGCCAAGCCCATGATGACACTCTTCAGGTCACTTGTTCTATCTAGGCTGGAATATTGCTGCACACTAACAGCACCTTTCAAGGCAAGTGAAATTGCTGACCTAGAAAATGTACAGAGAACCTTCATGGTGCGCATAACGGAGATAAAACACCTCAATTACTGGGAGCGCTTAAGGTTCCTGAACCTGTATTCCCTGGAATGCAGGCGGGAGAGATACATGATTATATACACCTGGAAAATCCTAGAGGGACTAGTACCGATCTTGCACACAAAAATCACTCACGACGAAAGCAAAAGACTTGGCAGACGATGCAACACCCCCCAATGAAAAGCAGGGGTGTCACTAGCACGTTAAGAGACCATACAATAAGTGTCAGGGGCCCGAGGCTGTTCAACTGCCTCCCAGCATACATAAGGGGGATTACCAACAGACCCCTGGCAGTCTTCAAGCTGGCACTGGACAAGCACCTAAAGTCGGTTCCTGATCAGCCGGGCTGTGGCTCGTACGTTGATTTGCATGCAGCCAGCAGTAACAGCTTGGTTGATCAGGCTCTGATCCACCAGGAGGCCTGGTCACAGACCGGGCTGCGGGGGCGTTGACCCCCGGAACTCTCTCCAGGTAAACTCCAGGTAATACCTGTGAGACAGAGATAGACAGAGAGAAAGAGAGAGACAGATTGAAAGAGATAGAATGTGGGAGAAAGATAATTAGATAGAATGGAGGGGAAGCAGCATCCAACCCCATTGTTTTGACAGGCGGTAGGGGGGGTGAGTAATGAGACAATATGTCATTTTGACAGCTGTAGACTCCTGACTCAAAACAATTATAAGCCACACACTCGCACCCAAGACAAGCTTGCTGAATGGTGATAATAGCAGTTATATGAAAGTATCTAGTGACTGTATATATGTATATATATTATAGAAACCAGAAGCAAGAAGGGAAGGCAGGAATGAAGGAAGGACGAGATGAAAGGAAGGAAAAAAGTAAGGAAAGGCAGATGAAGGAATGTAGGAAGAGAGGTAGGAAAGGACAGATGAAGGAATGTAGAAAGAGAGGTAGGAAAGGAATGAAGGAAATTAGGAAGGAAGGAATGATGACACACGACCATTTACCTAGGATAACTACATAACACAACTGCCTGCTAATACTTTGAAGAAAACTGCTCAGACGAGGCATTTTGTCTTTGCACATAAAAAAAAAAGTCCACAAAAATGCACACACACTAGTTTTATGTGTGAGGAGTGTAAAACACCATTGTGTATGACACCATGATTCAAAGACTTCCACAAGCTGCAGAACTTCTAGGAATATGTCCAGTGACTGTATATTGGTATATATATTACAGAACAATAGTAATAAAAAAAATTTTGTATTTTTGTTTTTGTAAACAAGTTTTGTAAACAATATATTGATAATTACGTTTGTGTGCTTGTTGTGTTGTATACAACAAGTGTATATATGTACATTGCACCTTACTTTGGTCTCACAGGCCACATAAGTTATGTGAAAAATAAAATAGTGAAAAAAACAACAAACCTTCAAATACAAGTAAACCAAAGTTTACCGAGTGAGCGGCAGTCGCCGCTGTTGCCATACGCGGCTCATTTTCTGCAAACTTCATGCCTCTATATCTCGGCAAGTACTGATGGGAAAAATTTTTTTTTTGGACTAAAACAATCAGAAAAATAATTTTTTTTTTTTTCGAATATTTTGCGACACCAGGAGACACTTCAGGATTGGGCCTTTCGACAGTCAAGGGGTTAAGACCAGCAAAGGTTGGTTTGAGAGATTTAAGAATCGTAGTGGCATACACAGTGTGGTAAAGCATGGAGAGGCTGTCAATTCGGACAAAAAAGCAGCTGAAAAATATGTGCAGGTACAGAGCTCTATGGACGGATTTTTGGTGCGACAGAGTTCCAATGACTCTCAAGTTGTTCCCAGTGGCATTAAAAAAAGATGGAAGTAACCCCAGAAAAGGACTTGGCAGCTAAAGTCCTTATGGAAGGGGATTCCCCTTCCAAACAATAATATGCCTCCATCTCCCCTTCCTCCCATCTCATCACTGTATCTTTAATAAAGGTAAGTGTCACTTATTCTTCATTTAGTTCAGTATTTATTGTGCATGTATCCTTGCTTTTCTGTATAGGAAAATGTATATTACACATAAAATTTTTTCGTGCTTTTGGGTGTCTGGAACGGATTAATTGGATTTCCATTATTTTTTATGGGGAAAATTAATTCGACTAATGATAAATTCGACTGAGGACAAGCTCTCTGGAATGGATTAATATCGTTGGTCGATTGTCCACTGTATATTCATTTTTTACTCATATTTTTGACTATTGGTGGTTTCGTTGGTACGTTACCCCATTGTAAAGTCTTATGATGAGTTCATCGGTACGTAACCCCATTGTAAAGTCTTGTGATGAGTTCATCGGTGCATAACCCCATTTTAAAGTCTAGGAACACCTGTATATATCTACGATCACCTGGAGCCTTTGAGAAAGGCATTGTTAGATTTTCAACCACACAAGATGACTACTTATTTTTCTATGATCTCATTTTGTGGCATATTCCCTTTTTAACATTATCTGTTAAGTGTAGAGTCAAACAGTGCTGATGGATAAACTTAAAATCTGAACAACTTGTCATCGGATAATTAATGATTAACTATATGGTAATAACGGTATATATGCATGTTCTTTGAGTCTCCTTGCTCAGGGGGAATTGACCAGTATGTTACATTTTTAATAAAGTAGTAAGGTTTAGTTTTTAAAATACAGGCAGGCTCCACCTATAGAGCAGGTTAGGTTCTGGGCTGCAGCTGTTAAGCAAAAAATTGCTGTAAAGTGAAGAATAGTTTTTTTTTTCAATTTCAAATGATATAAAAGCCTGATAACATGTTTGCACTATAATATATTAAGTGAGCAACAGAGCTAGACCTAAAATATGCATATACTATACACACATTACTTCTTTCTTTCTTTCAACACACCGGCCGTATCCCACCGAGGCGGGGTGGCCCAAAAGGAAAAACGAAAGTTTCTCCTTTTACATTTAGTAATATATACAGGAGAAGGGGTTACTAGCCCCTTACTCCTGGCATTTTAGTCGCCTCTTACAACATGCATGGCTTACGGAGGAAGAATTCTGTTCCACTTCCCCATGGAGGTAAGAGGAAATAAACAAGAACTAGAAAGAAAATAGAAGAAAACCCAGAAGGGTGTGTATATATATATGCTTGTACATGTATGTGTAATGTGACCTAAGTGCAAGTAGAAGTAGCAAGACATACCTGAAATCTTGCATGTTTATGAGACAGACAAAAGACACCAGCACTCCTACCATCATGTAAAACAATTACAGGTTTTCGTTGTACACTCACTTGGCAGGATGGTAGTACCTCCCTGGGCGGTTGCTGTCTACCAACCTACTACCTAGGACACACATTACTTACGTTAGAGTATTTTTGTACTTAGCTTATAGTGACTGATGAATGTATTTATTGTAGGAAGTCTGAATAAATGAAGAATGGGTATAATTGAAGACTGCTGTATTAGTGAAACACTGTAAGATGAAGTGCTGTAAAGTGAAGCCCTCCTGTAATGTACTCTATGTAATGTAAATGATTTAGAAAACTAAAAAGATGAAGAATGAGATACTTGTACAACATTTGGGAATCTTTATAATTGAAACATTTCACTGATCATTTGGTACTTCAGCCCAATACTAAGAAGAACATTATATAAATTTTAACATATCGAATTGTTACATAAAATTTATTCTATTTTTTCTCATTATAGGGTATGATCCTTCAAGGATGTTCTGTGACGAGCCATGAGGATCCCAGCTACTGGCAAAACCCGGAAAATTTTAATCCAGATCGCTTCTTGGATGAGAGTGGAAAGTTTGTGTCCCAGAAAGAAGGTTTCTTCCCATTTGGAATAGGTATGTTCTTAAATTAACTGTTGATATTGACCTCCTTATTAAATTATGCAAATAACCTGCACATATGACAATATCCTGGATGCCCTAGAGGACTAACAAAATGCAGATGTAGCTTACGCAGACTTTGCAAAAGCTTTCAAAAAGTGCAACCATGTTGTAATGGTGCAGAAAATACATGATACAGGAATAACAGGAAAAGTTGGTACATGGATATATAACTTCATAACAAATAGAACACAAAGAGTAACAATAAACAGAGTAAAGTCTAAGGCAGCTACAGTGAAAAGCTCTGTCCCACAATGTACAGTACTCACCCCATCATGTTCCTCATCCTCATATCTGACATTGATAGCCCCTTCAGGGTCCAAGGCCCAAATCTGAAGTGGTGCCCCAGTGTCCAAGATTTTTAAAAAAAAAAAATTTGTTATTTTTTCTTATGAAATGGTAGAGAATCTTTTTGTGAAGGTAATAAAACAAAAAGTACGAAATTTTATGGAAAATTGACGAAATTATGCTCTCGCGAATTTTGATGTGTCAGCGATATTTACGAATCGGCAATTTTGCCGACTTTGACTCCCATTTTAGGCCAATTACATTATTCCAATCAACCAAATTCTTAGCTATTTCACTAGTATTACTTCTATCGATTGAGCACAAGAAATCGCCAAATAAACTGTTTCAACTACAAATTAAAGTGATCGGAAATTGTTAATTTGGCCAATTTAACATAAAGTTCAAAGTATTCCAATTTCAAAATAGGGTCCAGAATAAACAATGTAGGTATTCCTGGAACTAAACTAACATTTCCTCTGTTCATTAGTTATGTTTTGAGGCTTTACAAATAAATTCCATTTTGATTTTTTATTCACATAATGAATTTTTATTCACACCAAAAAATAGAAGATTTACTGTTATGCAATACTGTAATAATTGTATAAATATCATCACCATATTTGTGAATGCATATTAGACCCACCAGCTGGTGTGTATTAGACGTGTGAGGTCGTTTGTTTACTCTTGAATATCGGCAAAAATTTAACATTTCCGCTATTTTGAGCTCAGTTTCAAGCCATTTCCAATGCTAAAACCAATCAAAATCATCTCTATTTCTGTAATATGTCTTCCATTCTATCAAATGAGACCAAGAAATCGCAAATAGATCTATAAAAAACATATGAAAAAACACTGCAAAGTCGCTGTTTTAATAAAAAAATCATGATTTCAGTTTTTTCTCTCATTATACACAGCATGCTGCAGGATCTGTTTTATGTGGTGCACACATACCACATAGATGTATTCTCTCATATCTAGGCCCAAATGTACCACTCACAGTTTATCAGAGTGAGCTGAGCTCATGACGTAGATCTACGGTTTGGACCCTGAACGTAAAGCCGTAGATCTACGGGACAGACCCTCAAAGGGATAGAGATGTAAGCCACAACACCGTGTCTTCCTTTGTAGTTGACACGCATATTTGCATGACAGTGTCCTCCATCGAAGACACTGCAAGACTCCACCCAAACATCAACCAAATCTTTACATAGGCCTTGGAAAACAATATGAAGTTCAATGAAGAGACATTTTAATTACTCCGATGTGAAAAACTTGAGAAAAATAAAATTATATCGGAGTATAAAACAAATTTCAACCAAACAATAGAGTGAAAAACTAATATGAAGGACCTGGGAGTAATAATGTCAGAGAATCTCACTTTTAAAGATCACAACAATGTATCTACCACATCTGCTAGAAAAATGACAGGATGGATAAGGAGAACCTTCAAAACTGTGGATGCCAATCTTATGATGGCTCTCTTGAAATTGCTTGTTCTCTCTAGGCTGCAATATTCCTCTACACTAACAGCACCTTTCAAGACATGAGAAATTGCTGACCAGGAGAGTATACAGAGAACCTTCACGACACACATAAGTACAGTAATTCACCTAAATTACTGGAAACAGTTGAAGTTCCTTGACTTGTATTCCCTGGAGTGCATGCAAGAAAGATACATGATAATATACACTTGAAAAATCCTAGAGAGATTAGTACCAAATTTGCATACAAAAATCACTCTGTACAAAAGCACCTGCCTCCCAGCATACATAAGGGGGATTACTAATACATTCCTGGCTGTCTTCAAGGAGGTACCAGATAGGCATCTAAAGTCAGTACCTGATGAGCCGGGCTATGGTTCATACGTCCGTTTGCATGCGACGAGCAGTAACTGCCTGGTTAATCAGGGTCTGATCCACCACAAGGCCAGATCACAGACTGGGATGCGAGAGCGTTGACCCCCAAAATCCTCTCCATGTATGTGTATGCAAAAAAACTTTATGACAACATTTCAGTCCACCGTGAACATAAACCAGTCACACGAAAGTAAGGGAACTAGTATATAGTATAAGAGAGGAGTCCAGTATCTATACTGGCCTCCTTACACTGAGGTCAGTGATCACCTGCGGTCATACCTGTCCTAAGCTCTGGGAGTTAGCGTGGGGTGTTACTAAGCACCATGGCTTGTTGTAATGTTTTAGAATCTCAGATTAAAGTGTTGAAGAAGGAGGTTCTACTTCTTCAGGAGGAAAATAGGAGGCTGAAGCTTTGCCTAGATGAGTTTGGGAGTGAGTGTAAGAAGGATTTAGCTGGTAAGGAAGAAATGGTTGCAGCAGTGATAGTGGCAGCCGCTTTAAGTGGCAAGTGGTTCATAGTTCAGGAAGTAGGAAGATAAGGAGGGTTAACAGAGAAGAAGTGAAGGTAGGAAATTGATTCTCTGTTCTCCAAGATGAGTGCACTTCAGTGGTTAGTGAGGTTGAAGGTACCACTGATTCCCCTGCTAATCAAGGTAAGAATATTTTAATAGTAGGAGATTCTCAGGTAAGATATATGGACCGTGCTTTTTGTAACAGAGACAGAAAGGTCAGACAGAGGGTGTGCCTTCCTGGAGCTGGTGTTGGTGACATAGTCAGCAGGTTGGATAATATTATGGCAGGTAATGGGAACAAGCCCATTATCTGTCTTAGTGCTGGGGGTAATGACATTGGGAAGGGCAGGAGACAGGAGCTGCTGGATAAGTACAGGTCAGCCATAGAGGTAGGTCCAAGCGAGGAATCCCAGTCATATGTAGCATCTTGCCTAGAAAGGGAGTGGGCAATGAATGGATGTCTTGGGCAGTTGGTATAAATTGCAAGGAACTTGCAATCCCACTTATTGATAACTGGGACCAATTCTTTGGCAAACGTGATATGTATTCAAGGGATGGGGTTCATCTCTCTGAGGCTGGAGTGGTTGCATTAACCAGTTTGATTGAGAGGGTAATTGATGACTTGTCTAGGAATTAAGCTGATAGATTATAGAGGTATAGGTGTTTGTGGGAAACAACCAGGCTGCAGTATTAGGCTTAAAAACATCAGTTATTACTGGAGTACCTCTGGGATATGTTTAAAAGACAATATTCAAAATAAAGTTGCTAGTAATGGCAAATTAGTTGATCACCAAACAAAGAGAGATAGTAGAGGGCAACGAGTGACTAGCTCCCTTAAGGTTTACTATACAAATAGTAGGAGTCTAAGAAATAAGATAGATGAGCTAAGATTTCTTGCAAGTGTAGGTAATATAGATATTATTTGTATAACAGAGACCTGGTTCAACCTGAAAGATAGAGAAATGCCTTCTGAATGCAACATACAGGGTTATAAACTATTCCACACTGATAGGGTCAACAGGAATGGTGGTGGAGTGGCGATGTATGTCAGAGAAAATTTAAATTGCTGTCGTAGACATGATATAATTTTAGAAACATCGAACACAGAATCTGTTTGGCTACAGTTTCTCGAGGGACACGACAAATTAATTTTGCGTGTGATTTATAGGTCCCCAATCCTTGATAGGGAGTGCAGTAAGCTGTTATGGGATGAAATTCATAAGGCATCTAGATATGAAAATGTTGTGATAATGGGAGATTTTAACTTGACACAAATTGATTGGAACAATATGACAGGAAATCTTGAGTCTAGTGACTTTCTTGATATGGTTCAGTATTGGTTTTTAGGACAGGTTGTGACAGAACCAACTAGAGGAAACAATCTGCTTGACTTGGTTCTTGCCAACAAGGAGTCACTAATTAACAATCTTGAGGTTAATAATGAGCTTGGGGAAAGTCATCACAAATCACTTAGTTTTATTTTTTTTTTTATTAACACACTGTCCGATTCCCACCAAGGCAGGGTGGCCCGAAAAAGAAAAACTTTCACCATCAATCACTCCATCACTGTCTTGCCAGAAGGGTGCTTTGCACTACAGTTTTTAAACTGTCACATTAACACCCCTCCTTCAGAATTCAGGCACTGTCCTTCCCATCTCCAGGACTCAAGTCCGGCCTGCCGGTTTCCCTGAATCCCTTCATAAATATTACTTTGCTCACACTCCAACAGCAGGTCAAGTATTAAAAACCATTTGCCTCCATTCACTCCTATCAAACACGCTCACGTATGCCCGCTGGAAGTCCAAGCCCCTCGCACAAACCTCCTTTACCCCCTCCCTCCAGCCTTTCCTAGGCCGATCCCTACACCGCCTTCCTTCCACTACAGACTGATACACTCTTGAAGTCGTTCTGTTTTGCTCCATTCTCTATACATGTCTGAACCACCTCAGCAACCCTTCCTCAGCCCTCTGGACAACAGTTTTGGCAATCCCACACCTCCTAACTTCCAAACTACGAATTCTCTGCATTATATTCACACCAGACATTGCCCTCAGACATGACATCTCCACTGCCTCCAGCCTTCTCCTCGCTGCAACATTCATCACCCATGCTTCACACCCATATAAGAGCGTTGGTAAAACTATACTCTCATACATTCCCCTCTTTGCCTCCAAGGACAAAGTTCTTTGTCTCCACAGACTCCTAAGTGCAATGCTCACCCTTTTCCCCTCATCAATTCTATGATTCACCTCATCTTTCATAGACCCATCCACTGACACGTCCACTCCCAAATATTTGA